TTGTCTCCGCGGGACACATTTTTACTTTTGTTACTTCCCCTCATCTCCTGGATTACCTTTTGGAGCTATTTCTGATTGGTGAATTACCTTACCCAGTGTTTTCCAGGTGTTACCTTTTTTCAGATAAAGAGATAAAGAAGGGTAGGTAGGCAGCCAGACAGACAGAAAGCATTGTCACCATGGCAACCTCTGACTTCAGGGAGGGGATACACAGCTCAGTCCAATTACCTGATTAGAGAGTCCTAACCCTCTAATATCTGTGGTGTTTATCAACCACTTTACTGACATTGCTATCAAAATCCCGCTACAAGAGACTGCTCCAACACTGAATACAGAAATGATTTACACAACTCTACACTGTTTTCACTGTAAAAATGTTTCAGTCAGTTGGCAGTTAATTTCAGTTTGTCATCCTAACTGACACAGAAACACACATAAATACAGACAAGCAGAGAGGCACACAGACAGATTGAAAGGCACACAAACACACACAACCAAACACACGTACACACACACACACAGAAAGCTGTTTACAAGTTAGTACTCATAGAGGGAGACAACATGACAACATGTTTCAGTTCTCAGCTTTTGCAGTTAATGGAGTTCAGCTTCTCCAGTCCCACATTTTGGCATCTAACTTTTCAAAGCACTGTTCATCGGTTAATGTGAGCTGCTTTTTCAACTATTTTAGTATTGTGTCAGCAATCTCCTTCAGGTACAAGTTTTGATTGTACATTTCTTCTTTCTTTGTTTTTTGTTTTCAACCATTTTGTATATATATATACAGTATGTATATATATATATAATATATATATATATTTTTTTTTTTTACAGTTTGTGCTGTTTGTTGCACATTAAATTAACTATTCACTTCAGCTATTGCTTCAGTTACTTCAGCAATGCTTCAGCACTTGCTTCAGCTTCTTCAGCAGTTGCTTCAGCTACTTCAGCAATGCTTCAGCTTCTTCAGCATTGCTTTAGTGATCTCATTCAGCTCTCAGCTTTCACAGGCATTTTCAGCAGGAAATGTATATTCCAGTATTTTATTATTCATACTTCTTTTGCCTTTCCACGGTCTCTAACTACTCCTTCATACTTTTTCGTACAGAAACCATTCTACTATGAAAACGTTCATCTTGTTCTGTAGATTATCGGATGTATACAACTTTTTTCTACTATTCATAATTTTCAAAATGTTAAGTTTTTTCTGTGATTTTTTTGCCATTCAAATAAATAGAGAGACTGTTTAAATCCTTGAAAGTTTCATCTTCTTTGAGCTTCAACTACTTAAGCATACTTTCAGCTACAGACTTCATTCAAACATTAAAATGTTCACAAGATTTTCATCTATAAGTTATTATACATTTTTGATATCCTGCAAAGTTTTTGAATTATCACAGTTTAAGCTTCATGCTTTTTTCAAATCATTTCTGAGTGTATAAGAGATGTGTATTACATGGAATGTTCAGGGCTAGAATGGATGACATCATTCCTAGAGTGGGAGAAGCTCTGAAATTTGTCTGAAAAGAAATCTGTGTAACTCATCCTTACGAACACATATTTGGGTCTTCACAAATAATTTCTTCCTCATTAGTAGACAATTTTGCCCTGTTTCATAAAGAGTGTCTACCTTAGCACAGAGACTAACAGAATTTGAAATGTGACCCTCCAAGTGATGCGAGAACCGTCAAACTCTCCCATAGACTGCAATACAAATTCAGGAGCTGATTTCCGGAGAAAACCATGTTGGGCCTGAACATGTGGTCGGCCAAAAGCAGGCCTGCTCCGGCCTACTTGTAACCACTGAAGCCTGATATCAGAGCCTGATTCCTAGCCCCAGTCCTGAACAAAGAAAGAGCGCCAAAAACCGCCCCCCCATAGACTCCAACTCCCAGCAGGCTCTGCGGTTCACACCTGAGTGTGAAATCTGGGGGAGTCCCAAACTCATGCTTCTCATTGGCAGAGATGCAGGGGACCCCGGCGACTTCGCCGTGACACCACTGCATCTATAAAGGTCAACTGCACACACCGACCATGGCCTTTCCATTGTAACTGCAACAGAGATAGCCCACTTTCTCTGTGAGCCAGTCTACTGAAGGAGGTAACCAACCCTGTGCACGTGTGTTTTCCCCCACAGAGGTTGAAGATCCTCCCCTCACTGGACGAGTTGAGACTCCCCTCCCTGTGTTTAACTAAACACGAAACTACGGATCCAAAAAGAGATTTCTGCCGACGCAGACCAACGATCTCTCCTGCCTGCAGAAGGAAGAAGGAACTTCTTCACGGAGACATGGACAACCCGACACTGGCTACCCTTCGATTACGCCGACGCTGCTGGACTGGGTTTCTTCGCTGAACAAGAAACCAGCTGCCGCAACCCTCAGAACGAGGACAGCACCGTCAGAACCACACCAGAGAACCTGTGCTGGATTTTAACCGACGGACCGGCGGTCCAAGTAAGAGGTTTACATCTGGGCAGAGATTGTATTGATTGTTGATGTTGGTTTTTAATTTGCTGTGTTTTGAACTGTGCTATCCTTGTTTTTCCATGGACCGCTGAGTCCTTTGTACAATACAGTTAAGAGTATTGAAGTTACTGCGCGCTGCTTGCCGTTATTCACCACTCCAGATTAACTGTGTGGTCCCTTTGCGGGACCACTGCATGTGCCACCGCGGGTGTGAAGCGAGTTGCTCAGTCCTTTAACGCGATCAGACAACGAGCATACAGCTTTACGGCCGTACGTGCGCTCTCTGTGGGCTGAATAACTATTGCTCACATCCCACGGTAGCTTGACTCTGCCGCGAGTCGTTTGTCTTCCTTTGTTACACCACACGCACACTTACATATAGAACATATCATTCATCATATATAGATCACCGCCCTTTTAGGTTGTCTACACAAGACATAATCCCGTCCGCCATTTTGGCTCACGTGGTCTAACACCCTCAGACCTGTCCGCCATCTTGGACCCTGCGGGACGCAATCTTTACAGGTCAAGTCCGCCATCTCACCTCACACACACGCACGCACACACACTTACTTATACACATAGACACACACACGTGCCTCATTTGTATGGGTTGATTGTATAGCTGTTAGTTGGGTGGTTGGTAGTATAGTGTGATTATATCCAGACTGCGGTTAACTTTAATTGTTGTGGAGGTTATAATAAACATTATTGTAGTTTAAAGAGAAGCTCTTGTAGTCATTATTGTGTAGTTTTTATTGTGATCTGTGACTGATTGAGAGGGTCAGACTTCGAACTTAATCCTTCATTAGATACTCGCAGTCACCCGCAGAGACTCATTACTCTGAGTGAACTATTAAGGTTATGAGACTATAAACTGGTTTGGTTATGTTTCCCCGATTCCGGTGATGTGCTCCGCATTATTAATTAATATTAATTAATATAATACTGTTAATAATTTAAAGTAATTTAAAGCTAAATCAATTTTTCAGCATATGCAGAATTCATATTTAATAACCAAACATGCTCCTACCGGACCAGACCAGAACTGACCCTATTTTGTAACTTGCTCCTAATTCCACATTTTTGGCTCTAGAAACACCAAAACCACATAGAGGTGTTCAACAGAGTGTTGTGCGCACTGACCATGTTTGATAATTTTGCTGATATTATGTACTGTTTTGTATTGAATGGCAGGAGTTTGAGAGGTTCGCTACACCTTTTCCCATAGATTTGCATGAGCTCTGTGTCTTCAACAGCGAGACGCTCTCTCTTACACACCACACACAAACACACACACACACACGCACAAACCGGAGACACACACACATATACACAAACGCGCGCGCGCACACAGACATGCACACACACACAATCGGACACATAGAAAGGTAGACAGACAGATGGGTAGATAGACAGGTAGACACAGTTTGATTCAGGAAACATTGGCTGTTTAATTTCAGTTTGAAATCTAATTGATTCCACATTACATATATTCTAATTGGTGGATTACTTTTGGAATCTCAATGCGATTGGTCGATAACCTTTGAGCTCATTCTGATTGTGGATTACCTTTAACCAATGTTTTCCAGGTGCTACCTTTTTCAAAGAGGAAGACAGGTGGGCACCACCTGTTGCATTGTCACATCATTCTAAT